TGATTGTGAACACTAGTGTGCTAGTGTGCTGTGAAGGGTGCAGATGGAGCAGGTGTGCTATGATTGTGAACACTAGTGTGCTAGTGTGCTGTGAAGGGTGCAGATGGAGCAGGTGTGCTATGATTGTGAACACTAGTGTGCTAGTGTGCTGTGAAGGGTGCAGATGGAGCAGGTGTGCTATGATTGTGAACACTAGTGTGCTAGTGTGCTGTGAAGGGTGCAGATGGAGCAGGTGTGCTATGATTGTGAACACTAGTGTGCTAGTGTGCTGTGAAGGGTGCAGATGGAGCAGGTGTGCTATGATTGTGAACACTAGTGTGCTAGTGTGCTGTGAAGGGTGCAGATGGAGCAGGTGTGCTATGATTGTGAACACTAGTGTGCTAGTGTGCTGTGAAGGGTGCAGATGGAGCAGGTGTGCTATGATTGTGAACACTAGTGTGCTAGTGTGCTGTGAAGGGTGCAGATGGAGCAGGTGTGCTATGATTGTGAACACTAGTGTGCTAGTGTGCTGTGAAGGGTGCAGATGGAGCAGGTGTGCTATGATTGTGAACACTAGTGTGCTAGTGTGCTGTGAAGGGTGCAGATGGAGCAGGTGTGCTATGATTGTGAACACTAGTGTGCTAGTGTGCTGTGAAGGGTGCAGATGGAGCAGGTGAACTGCACAAAGAGGGAAAGTCCTAAGTGCAGGAATTTTGGCCCCTTGGAGATTAATGTGCTGTGTTTGCCGTGTGTGGGTGTTTGTGTTTCACAAGATCGCTGTGGTAGTTTGAATGGACTTGGCCCCCATAATCTCATAGGGAGTGGCACTGTGAGGAGGTGTGGTTCTGTTGGAGTAGGCATGATCTTTTTAGAGGAAGTGGGTTACTGGGGGCAGGCACTGTGCCCAGGATACCACCTAGTGTCTCTGTCGACTTCCTTTGCCTACAAGCCAAGATATAGCCACCTCACGTCTGCCTGCGCACCACCATGCTCCCTGTCATGACAGTGGACTGAACCTCTGAAACTCTTAAGCAAGCCACCCCGATTGAATGTTTTCTTTGTAAGAGCTGCCATGGTCGTGGTGTCTCTTCACGGCAATAGGAACCCTAACTTAGACAATCCCTGAGCCCCTTATCGCAGGGACTTTTGTGGAGATGTCTCACAGGCATGACTGGTTATTTATTTCCTGGTCCCTCTTTCTTTCCTGAAGGATGGCAGGGTAGGACCAAGTTTCTAGTCATAGCATTGACTTTCTGGTAACATCTTCCCCGTCTAGGCACTGTGGAGAGTCCCAGGAGTTAGGTCATTAGCACAGAAGGACTACCACCCAGGGTAGTACCTAAAGAGTTAAGAACCAACTGTCAAGAACCTACATCCAAGATGAAATTGTAAAAAAAAAGATGAAATTGTAGAGAGCAGAAGATACTGTTAGTACCACAATACTTAGGACTTTATAAGGGTTTCAGGACATCTGTCTCATCTGCCAGGACAATAGACCAAAGTGCACATGTTACAACACAGCCAATAAGGGCGTGTTTATGGCAGTCGTACTGGACTGCAGTTTAACTGAGCAGTTACTAATTTTCTTACGTGGAACTGAACTATTCTTAGTAGAAGGGTTCTCAAGTGTTTAGTAATGGCCTTTACAGTTCGCTTGAGAATGGCTCAGTGTCTTAGTTAGGGTTCTACTGCTGAGGAGAGACACCATGACCACAGCAGCTCTTATAAAGGAAACATTTCATTCGGGTGGCTTACAGTTGGGAGGCTTAGTCCCTTATCGTCATGGCAGGACATGGTAGCGTGCGGGCCGACATGGTGCTGGAGAAGGAGCTGAGTTTCATACATCTTGATCTGCAGGCAGCAGGAAATGAACTAACTAGACATAGCTTGAGCATAGGGGACCTCAAGCCCACCCCACAGTGGTATTCTTCCAACAAGGTCACACCTCCAAATAGTGCCACTCCTTGAGCTTACGGGGGCCAATTCCATTCAAACTGCCAGACTCAGTAAGAAACATTAGTTCCTCTATTGAGAGTCAGAGAGAACACAATGAAGCTACCAGTGAATGTGTGTAAATGTGCCTTGTAGAATATATGGATCTTCACTGAATATATGAATGTCAACTTTTCTTCAGAAAGCAAGGCTAGGGGAGGGCTGGAGAGATGGTTCCAAGTCTACAGCATGAATTCAGACCTACACGGCAGGAGAGACTCCCACAGTTATCCTCTGACCTCCACATGTGCACTGTGTGCTCCCTCCATAAGTAGATAAATTATAACTTTAGAAAATTATTTTCCTTGTGGTAATTATAGAAAATTAAAAGACCTTTCTCATACTTTTCTGCTTTGTACAGTTTCTTACTCCACAAAAAGACCTTTTCTGAACTCTCATTTGGTGTAGTGGCAGCAGTAGAATTGCCTCAGTGACTTCAATTGAAAGCAGGGCCCTGGTACATGGCTGTGGCACCCACCGTCAGTGTTTGTATTATTTAAATACACAGATAAGTTCTGCGATTCACTTAAACTTATGTAGTTATTCTCTAAGTATTTATTCAAATACAGTAGTTGTCTACCATGTAACTGCTTAACTCAGAATATTAGCAGTCATGTCTGTTTATGGTCCTGCCCGAGCTGAGTATAATCATATACTGTTTATTGTTAACGTGGAAGTAGTTTGCTTCTCTGAATTCTTTACAGTATCTAGTCTAACATTTTAAGTGAAAGTTTTTTTTTTTAAGTCTCATGCAGATTCAAAAATGTGAGTTGGTCTTGATTCACACCTACCCCGTTGGTGAAGACAGCCTTGTGTCTGATCGTCCTAAGAAAGAAGTAAGTGCAGAGGGTGTGAGTGAGAGAGCTCAGCGGTGCTGGGTGCTGTATTGAGCCCATCAGAGTGCTGGGCTTGCTGCCAGGAAAGTATTTGAAAGTCTGAAAACTGGACTCTGTGCCTGATAGCTATGGTCGGGACAGACTGTTATAATGACAGACTTGACGTGCCTCCTGTTCCGCTTCATCAGTGACGTTTATTGTAATGTGACCTGTTGCAAGTCCAGAAACTTTATCCTAGCATGTGGATTTTAGTTACTTTAATAACTTTAATTCTTTACCCATCTTGAAAAATAGTACATTCTAATGAAATACCCTCTGATAGCAAAGAAACCAACTTATATATATGTTCAGGGAAAACCTACTTTCTAACTTTTACTTTAAAAAAAAATAGAGAAATTTTAAATGAAAAAATAATTTTGTAGGTTAATAAGTATAGTCACATCGCATCTTTATTGGTAGTCTGTATTTAGAATTGTAAATTTTCCATTTATGTAGTTATAGTATGCGCTAATGTTTTATTTTGTATCTTTAATTAAACCTTGTTCACTATTACTTTAGTCTATGAATTATTTAAATGGTACTTTCAAGTTGTCTCTATCATATTTTAGGTAGTTTCCTGATTATTTTATGCTTTTTTTTTAACGAGACAGTAGGTTGGTTTTCCTTTTTGGTAACTAAAATTAATTATTATTGCCCTGAAATAATAAAATTTTGTTAGTTTACTGTTGTATGAAGTTTTTACTCTTTTGGCTTTTGGGGGGGCCCACCACCGAGCTTCCAAATAAATCACACACAGAGGCTTATTCTTAGTTTTAAATGCCTGGCCTTAGCTTGGCTTGTTTCTTTCCAGCTTTTCTTAAATTATCCCAGCTACCTTTCGCCGCTGGGCTTTTATCTTTGTTAATTCTGTATTCCCTTCTGTACTTCTTTTCTCTGAGACTTGCTGTGCAGCTCATGCCCTCCTCCCCGTGCTCTTGCTCCTTGGTCCTTCTGTTTTATGCTGTCTGCCAGCCCCGCCTGGCCTTGCTCCTGCCTTGCTATTGGCCGTTCATCTCGTTATTAGGACCATCAGGTGTTTTAGACAGGCGCAGTAGCTCAGTTCATCTCGTTATTAGGACCATCAGGTGTTTTAGACAGGCGCAGTAGCTCAGCTTCACAGAGTTAAACAAATGAACGAACAAATGTAGTGTAAACAAAAGTCACGTACCTGAAAATATTATTCCCTAACAGTTTACTTTTTTTTTTAAGAGAGAGTTTCTCTGTGGGTGCCGGGGTTAAAGGAGTGCATCACTACACCCTGCGTTAGTTCTCTACACTTTTACTACCTGACCTCACACTGGTAATGAAGCCCAGAGCCAAACGTTTGCTGTGATTTCCATGTTCCTCCTCCTCCTCCTCCTCCTCCTTTTTTTTTTTGGCTTTTTGAGACAAAGTTTCTCTGTGTAACAGCCCTGGCTCTGCTGAAACTCACTTTGTAGACCAGACCAGACTGGCCTGGAACTCACAGAGATCCGCCTGCCTCTGCCTCCCAAGTGCTGGGATTAAAGGCGTGCGTCACCACCGCCTGATGCTTCTTAATTTTTATCTGCAGTGTTGTCCTCTATAAAGTGAATTGTTTTTCTTATAGTGTCTCTATGTGATTTCAAGTCTTATTTGCATATTGATAATAAGAAATTATAAAATATCAATACATATTTATTTAGTACATGCTTCCAGTCTAGGTTTGAAGAGGACGATGACAGTCTGTATTGTGTACCAATGGCTCACATAGTATATAGTAAATGGATTATACATGGTGCAGAAGAAACTTCATTGATGAAATAGTTATCCTGGCTAACTTCTACATTCCTCTCCCCCCACCACACACACACACACACACACACACACACACACACGTTTAAAAAGCCACTCCGCATGGGACTGTTGTGAAGTAATGGCTTATGGGTTACCTTTCTTGGGTATTTTCCTGCAGTTGTCCCCGGTTTTGACCAGTGAAGTCCACAGTGTTCGAGCTGGACGGCATCTGGCCACCAAGTTGAATGTTCTAGTACAGCAACATTTTGACTTGGCTTCAACGACCATCACAAACATTCCTATGAAGGTAGGCAGTTCTGAGAGCTCGTCTGTGCTTTTTGATTATTTGCTTGACATTCCTTATTCACTTTAATTGAACCTTTACTTTTTCTCCCTATATCATATTTTGTTTTGCTAGCCCACATTCAGTGTCTTTGAACAGGTCAGTAAATCCTGAGAATCAAAAGAAAGGATCACAGAACAAATGTTACATTGTTACTATTTCTAATAAGAACATGCCACCTGAGATTTTTAAGAACTATGTTCTTATTATTTTTATCAAAATATATATCTTAAATTATTTCTCTGTGATTCTTTTCCTGAGAGCTGTGTTACTAGATTTTACTTTGTTTGTTTGAGTGGATCTTTTATTTCCTGTGCTTTCGTTCTTACCTCCCAAATGTGAAGGTGTCTGACTAAGGAAGGGTAGCTCAGGCTCCTAGGTGATTAGCACTCTCCTGGGAAGGAGCCATGGATGTGAATATATTTTCAGCTGTGGATTTTCTCAGGAATCTGTCACTCTTTGTTCATATTATCATTCAGTTGTCAGGACCAGCAGCACGCCTGACCCGCAGTCAGGGGGTAAATGAGTCGTTACTATTGAATCCGTCCATAACTACTCTGACCTAAAGTCTCACGGTGACTTTCTTGGAGTCCTGTGTCAGTTTTTTCTTTTTTGCTTCTTATTTTTGAGACAGGGTTTTACTTTATAGTCCATACTGACTTGAAACGTGATCCTCCTGCCTTGAGCTCTGCAACACTGGGATCACAGATGTGAATCACGGTACCCCAGCCTTGTTTTCAGTTATTTTGCCCCTCTCCCATGGGTACTAAATTGCATGAACAATTTCATGTCCTCCCAACTTCATTGGCTGGTTCTTTACTGGGAGTTCTAGGAGACCCTTGAGAATGGCTTTGCTGAGAGGCCGTGAACAAGTGAAATAGTCCAACAACCCATGCTCATAGCTGAGTTATAAGACGTGCCGGGAAGGCAGCAGACGACCTGCTTGTTGGACCTGACACTTGTCTCTAGTCTCTCTGTTAATAGATAATGCCAGAAACAAACTGCTAAGCTTGTTTATTAGTTAGTGTTGCTACTTTAAATAATTGGTGTCTGTTAACTGACTGCAAGTATTTAAAGATGCTGTCGCCTGTTTTTAACAACTATTTTAAGTTCAACTTACATAAATATATTTGTGTATAAAAACTATTGGCAAGAAAAAATATATATTTGTAGTTAAATTCAACATTTCTAGAAGAGTCATTTGTGTTGATTCTGGCATGAGAAAGTCATTACCCCGGTGTCTGCTCAGCTCATAGTTGTACAGTGGAGTTCATTCACTGTTGGGAAGTGTTGCATCTTTAAATGACTGCGCCAACCGTCCTCTTATTTAGCTGACTGTGGCAGAATGGATTTGACCTCACTTTAAGAAAAAGCAAAGTAATTTATTTCATTATTTTTTATAAGCAAACCCAGGTAATTAAAATGTCTTAAACTTTGCTTAAAGGAAGAGCAGCATGCCAACACATCTGCCAACTATGACGTGGAGCTACTTCACCACAAAGACGCACATGTAGATTTCCTCAGAAGTGGTAAGAGGCCTGACCCATTGTTCCTGCCACGTACACAGACTGACCTCATCTCTGTCCAACTCCTCTGCAGTGTCCCCATTGTAGTTCTTGTCCATTTGATACGATTAGAGCCACCTGGGAGGACGGAATCTCAGCTGGAAAAACCTCCTTCATCAGGTTGGCCTGTGAATATGTGTCTTAGAGTTTCTGTTACTGTGAAGAATCATCACGACCATGGCAGCTGTCGACAGAAGGAAACATTCATGTGGTGACTTAGGTCATAGCAGGACCTGGTGGCGTGCAGGCAGATGTGGTGCTGGAGGAGTGAGGGTCCTACATTGTGATCCACAGGCAGCAGGAAATGAACCGAAGTGACATAGCTTGAGTGTGGGGCACCTCAAAGCCCACCCCACGGTGACCCACTTCCTTTAACAGTGTTACACCTACCTTAACAAGTCCACACCTCCATGAGCTTATGGGGGCCAATTCCATTCAAACTCCACAGCATAGTTGGGGGGGCATTTTCTTAATTCAAATTGATGTAGGAGGGCCCAGCCTACTGTGAGCAGGGCCAGCCTTTGGCAGGTGGTGTGGGGTTTTGAGAAAGGTAGCTCAGCAGGCTAGGGAAACAGTGTCTTCGTGGCCTCTTCTTCAGTTCCTCCTTCAAATTCTGACAAGTTCCTGCTTTGGCTTCCCGTGAAGATGGACTCTTAACTTAGGAGCTGAAGTAAGGCCTTTACTCCTCCAGGTTGCTTTTGCCTATGGTGTTTATCACACAACAGAAAGTGAGCTAGGGCAGTGTCCAGGAACTGACACTCTGTGATGAAAGATGAAAGTTTACTTCCGTTTCCATCACTGGCCCTCGTGACTTAGGTCGGAGGGGAGCGCTTCAGAGAGCTGTGTCTCCACAGCAGCTCTGTGTGTGTGTGTGTGTGTGTGTGTGTGTGTGTGTGCGTGTGCTTCACTGTCTGAGAGAGAGCTCTGTCCCCACAGCAGCTGTGTGTGTGTTTGTGCTTCACTGTCTTTGTTTAAAGACGCGGATGCTGTCGCAGCATGAATCGTAATCATGCACTCGCTCCTAAAATGAGTGATGTTTTAAGGTCTGTTAAGGTCTGAAGACCATCGAGGTTCCTGAGGTTCTCTGTAGACTGACTGCTAGAATGATATGATTGGTGTTGGGCGTGTTGTGTGTCCATAATTGTGAGCCGGCTGGGACGATGGTTCACTGGCTGAATCACGAGCAGGAGGACGACTGTGATAAATGTATGTACTGATATTTAGTAAGGGAGTGCTAGGAACCCATGAGATGATTCCAGCTTTTAAGATTTTTCTTTTTTAAATCAGAAGATTTCATAAAATAGCCTTGATTGTGAAAGTATTTCTTGTCTGTGGAGATGCTCGGTGGGTAGAGCACTTGCCAGGAAAGCAGAGGAACCCAAGGTCAGTCTCCAACACCCAGGAGACGCCTGTAGAGCCACAGTTGGGGGCAGAGGCAGGTGGGTCCCATACATTACACACGTGTACATGAGTAACTAAAATCTTCATACCTCTGTAGAGTTCTCCTGTGTGTGTATGACCAGGAAGTTAGGTAAGCCTCACTGAGGAGGACTGAGCGGGATCTCAGTTAGTGGAAGGCTCATAATTTAGCTCCGTGTCTGTATGCTCTCCTGCCTCGGGTCAGCGCTCTCCGAGCACTTGGTGAGCTCTGGGACAGGCCAGCTGTTTGTGCATTTCCGTTAGAGATGCCTCTGACATCTCGTCTACTTATTTATTTGATTTTGCATCCCCATGGCTGTTTCCCTTTCTCTCTCTTTTTTGTCTCTCAGCCCCTCCCTCTACCACCCCTCTGCCATTCCCTCCCCCATCCACTCCTCTGTTTCTGTTCAGAAAAGGGCAGACCTCCTATGGATATCACCAAAACACAGCATATCCATTTGCAGTAAGACTAAGCACCTTCCTTACCTTGAAGTAAGGCTGGACAAGGTGACCCAGTATAAGCAGTAGGGTCCCAAAAGCCAGCAAAAGCGAGACAGCCCTGTTCCTACTATTAGGAGTCCCAGAAGAAGACCAAGCTACACAACTGCAACATATGTGCAGGGGACCTAGGTCGATGCCATGCTGCCTCCCTGGCTGTCGGTTCAGTCTCTGTGAGCCCAGGTTGATTGATCAGTGGGTTTTCTTATGGTGTCCTTGACTCATCTGGGTCCTACAATCCTTCCTCTCTTCAGCAGGATTCCCCGAGCTTGACCTAATTTTTTTTTTTTTTTTTTTTTTTTTTTTAGACAAGGTTTCTCCGTAGCTTTTTGGTTCCTGTCCTGGAACTAGCTCTTGTAGACCAGGCTGGCCTCGAACTCACAGAGATCCGCCTGCCTCTGCCTGCCTCTGCCTCCCGAGTGCTGGGATTAAAGGCGTGCGCCACCACCGCCCGGCTTGACCTAATGTTTGGCAGTGGGTCTCTGCCTCTGTTTCCCCCTGTTGCTGTATGAAGCCTCTCTGACGACTGCTGGGCTAGGCACCAATCTGTGAGAATAGCAGAGTATCATTAGGCATCATTACATTGACATTTTGTTTTTACTCCAGTCCTGTTTGGTTCTATCCTGGGTCTCTGGGCCATCCAGCCTCTGGGTCCTGGAGCTCCAGGCGGTGTCAGAGGAGAGCCCACTCTCGTAGCGTGGGTCTCAGGATGTACAGTCATTGGTTGGTCACTTCCACAATCTCTGTGTTTCTGACACATTTTAAATCAAATTTATCATTCTTGATTTCGTCTTGTGTCTCTCAAATACAACCATAATCTTTATCTTTTCTGCCATTAACCACTTTTGAATGAAGCCCAATATTTTCTCAGCTAGCATCCCGAGGAAGAGGGTAAACTGAGAATGTAATCCACCACGTTCTCACGGCTGTGCTGTCTTAACAGACCACATTACTTGACTGTCCTCTCTGCTGCACTGCTGCCACACAGTCCTGACATCTGCTGTTCTCTTGCCTGAATGCTTTCCCTCCATGTCTGTATTTCTTCACCATCCTCAGAACGTAAGCCAGTCTTTGTATCTAAAGGAGGCTTTTCCATTGGCTTAGACTAGATCAGCGCTCTCTGTTGGAGGCCCCATATCGTGTCTTCTGCAGTTAGAATGGATCAGAGCTCTTTGTTGGAGGCCCCGTAGCCCCATATCGTGTCTTCTGCAGCACGTTGTCACTTCGTAGTCTCACGTTTATTTACTCTCTGGTTGACATCTGCTCCATGAGGGCAGGGTGTGGCTCTGCCCTCGTACACTCTCACTCCCAGAGCCTTCCTGCTGCTGTGAAGCAGCACACTAGGGTTTGGCTGTCCATGTTAGACTGCTAACCTTCTGAGTACTGGCTGTACTTCATCATTTATTGGGATGACATGGAGAGATTGTTAGGATGTTTGAGGTCTGTAAAACCTGTATTATTAGGTTGCTATTAAAGCAGCAACCTAACTTAATTAAATTAGTGAATGGAAAAATAAAATGAACCATTTGAGGGGAAATTACTTACTGATATTGATCATAGTTTATATCTATCCTCTAGTTGGTCTTCTTTGTTTTTGTAAAAAGAGTGTTCTTACAGAGCTCTTCTCTCTTCCGGAGCTTGAGCTTTCTTTGAAAACTTAAATAACCATCATTTTGAAGTTGGTGACCTCTCTAGTAAAGTTAGTGTTTCTGTGAACTTTCTGAAGGTGACACCCACTCGGGCGGCAGCAGCAGAGAAGGCCCATTTAAGGAGACCGTGACCCTGAAGTGGTGCACACCCAGGACCAACAGCATTGGTGAGTAGACAGCCCTGGGAGAGCGGGAGAATTGCCGAACACCAGAGGTCTTTGAAGTGTGATGTTGGGTCATGAATTTCTGTTTGAATTTTTATTTTTCATTGCTTAGAGACTCAATAAGCAATAGGACATTTCATTATATTCCTTCAAATCAGTGTTTTCTTTTGTTTCAGAATTACACTATTGCACTGGAGCATATCGCATCTCACCCGTAGATGTAAACAGTAGACCTTCTTCCTGCCTCACGAATTTCCTCCTCAATGGTAATTATCATCTAATCCGCGACTTAGGTGGAGCCATCAGTGTCACCGGAGTCTGTTTGCCGACAGTGCTCTGCACTCACATGGTTGGGAATCGCCTTTAGCAGCTGGGCTGAGGGTCGGAAAATGACTTTCTTCCTGACTTCCAGACTGTTGTTATATCTAAGTTTTGTCCAGCATAGTTTTAAGAATTTTTATTTAAATTTTGATCTTTAAAGTCTGGCTTGACATTTTTTTGGAAGCTGGACTAGTAGACCTCCATCTTGGCCCTGAACAGTGTCTGTGGGCTTCACCCTCACTGTAGCTAACTGTTTTCAGTGTCTCGCCACTGTGATTCCTAGCCAGACCTGAAGTTTATGGCTTGTTTTACTTACGTAATTTACATCTCAATTACTGACTTTCATCTTCTATATCTAAATTTTTAAATCTCTTCATGTAATAATAATTTTGGAACTATTGATTTTAAAAATCTGTCATTTTGTAAGTTTTTTATTCATTGTTATCTTAAATACAGTTTGAAGCTGGCGGGCGCACACCTTTAATCCCAGCACTCAGGGAGGCAGAGGCAGGAGGATCTCTGTGAGTTCGAGGCCACCCTGGTCTACAGAGTGAGTTCCAGGACAGCCAGAGAGATACAAAGAAACTCTGTCTTGAACCTCCCTCCCTCTAAAAAAATACAGTTTGATTATCAGAATATTTAAAATCCAAATTCCCTAGCATTTGGTAAGTGAAATAGGAACTCAGAACTGTGCTAGCAAGGCAGTACTGTGGAAGGGGATTGAGACTGTGCCTTCCCTCAGATGCTGTGTAGCATTCATAACCTGAGGTTTTTTCGGTCGCTTAGTTTTCACCTTAAATGTCCACAAGGAGGTTTTTATGTGACCTTGAAATTGAGTAAACATGCAAACAGCCATTAGAACTGTTTGGGAAACTAGCCCTATAACGTGTAAACTAGAGAAGCTAGGTGTTAAGGGAGTGTAGATGCACCAGCTTAGCCCTGCTGGCTAAAATAGGAGCTGTTTGAGTTTGTTACCGACAGCTTGATCTTGCTTCTGACAGGTCGATCTGTGTTGTTGGAACAGCCACGAAAGTCAGGTTCCAAAGTCATCAGTCACATGCTTAGCAGCCATGGAGGGGAGATCTTTTTGCATGTCCTTAGCAGCTCTCGATCCATTCTAGAAGATCCGCCTTCCATTAGTGAAGGCTGTGGAGGAAGAGTTACAGACTACCGGATTACAGTGAGACTTTTAAAAAATGTTTATTTTATGTGTGGGTTTTGTCTGTATGTATGTTTGTGCACTGTGTGCATGCCTGTTTCCTTTGGAGGCCAGAAGAGGGTGTTCTGCTCTCTGGAACTGGAGTTAGAGACAGTTGTTAGTCACTGAGTGGGTGCTGAGAATCTAACCTGGGCCCTCTGCAAGAGCAGCCACTGGACATCTGTCCAGCCCTGGTATAAACCTCACTATCTGTATGTTTGTTTTGAGTCATTTAGCAAGAGTTCTTGTATGTTAAGGTTATGGGGAACACCGGTCTCAGCGGAGCTGGTTGTTGTTTCCATAACCGACATCACTGTGTCTTCTCTGCCTTGTGATGCATTCAGTGACTGGGAAGTGTCTGGGTCCTAAAGCACCAGAGTCAGAGAGGAACAGACTAGTGCTTTCTTTTGTGTGTATTGATATTTCAGGGCTACTTTTTTGAGATGGTTTGGAACTTAAACGTGGATTTATGTATATATGTACACATGATAAACTACCAACTATTATATACTTTAATTATTTTATTAGACTTTTGGGTAATAATTTTTAAGGGGCTGAAAACCAATTAGTATTCATTATAGAAAAGTGAGACCGTAACAAACGTCTAAAAACCAAACAAACGAAAAGCTAAGACTCCATCATTCAAAGACCGTTGTTCAGGCTCTGTCAGGCAGCTTTTTCATAAGCAGATTGGTCTGGAAGAAAGCGGTTAAATCATAGGAATGGAGTAGAGGTTTCAACTTGGAGAGGGGGCGGGGCTCGCAGTGAGAAGGGGCTGTGCTGGCGGTCACAGGACAGAGGCCGTGAGGGAAGTGACTGTCAGATGTAACCCGTGCTGCAACTCTAGACTAGTTTCTAATTGTGTCTTATCTGGTTATCATTAGGATTTTGGTGAATTTATGAGGGAAAACAGGTTAACTCCTTTTCTAGACCCCAGATATAAAATGGATGCGAGTCTAGAGATCCCGCTGGAACGTGCAAAGGACCAGTTAGAAAAGCACACCCGTTACTGGCCCATGATTATCTCACAAACCACCATTTTCAACATGCAAGCGGTGAGTCTCATTTTACTTTATTTCTGGATTAGTGTGTATTTATAAATATGTTTGTAGAAAAAAATTAAGCATTTGTAATTGGTGCCACTTTGAGTTTGTTGCGACTGAAGAATTAGTGGTGAGGACAGAAGCAGCAGTTATGGGTCCTCCTTGTGACCGTCGTTAAAGTCAGCTTGAAACCAACTTCGTCCTTAATACTTTGATGCTTGGTTTTCAAGACAGATTTCCTTTTTCTCTTCTTTCTTTTCTTTCTTGTTTTAACCTAACAGGTCGTTCCATTAGCCAGTGTTATTGTGAAAGAGTCTTTGACAGAAGAAGACGTGTTAAACTGTCAGAAAACTGTATACAACTTGGTCGACATGGAAAGGAAAAATGACCCTCTTCCTACTTCTACAGTGGGCGCCAGAGGGAAGGGCCCCAAAAGGTAGTGCATGTGTGCTCTGTGGAGGTGTGAATTACCAGAGGGGTGCATGTGTGTGCTCTGTGGAGGTGTGAATTATCAGAGGGGTGCATGTGTGTGCTCTGTGTAGGTGTGAATTATCAGAGGGGTGCGTGTGTGCTCTGTGTAGGTGTGAATTATCAGAGGGGTGCATGTGTGTGCTCTGTGTAGGTGTGAATTATCAGAGGGGTGCGTGTGTGCTCTGTGTAGGTGTGATGGAGAAGTAGGATCGTAGGCACTGCTCCAGTGTGACTTGAGTTCCACCATTCACCATGCACTGAAGGGAAAGAAGTACATCTCTGCTTCTGGGTCCTTTATCATAGCAAGTGGGGTCAGCAGCACTGAGCGTTTAGATGTTTAGACATAAGGAGCATTTCTGAGGATGCGTTTGACCTTTACTGCAGAGATGAACAGTACCGTATCATGTGGAATGAATTAGAGACCCTTGTCAGAGCTCATGTCAGCAACTCAGAGAAGCATCAAAGAGTCTTGGAGTGTCTGATGGCATGTCGGAGCAAACCACCGGAAGAAGAAGAGCGGAAGAAGCGAGGGAGGAAGAGGGAAGACAGGGAGGACAAGTCAGAGCAAGCCGTGAAGGACCATGGGCCTGAGAAGCCCCGGCCAGACTCAGACAGGTGACTTGTTCCCTTGGCAGGCGCCTTTGCCTGTGCTTTCCCGTAGCACATCCCCTCCATCCATGCCTGTCCGTTCTGTAACTGCACTGTTAGTTACAGCCTTTCTTTACCTAAAACAGTGCAAAACTCCTGATTTTTCCTAACTAGTTGATGATGATGATGATGATGACATTTGATGCCAATATGCTCTTTGAATATTGTAAAATTTCAAAAACATAATTTTATGTTCAGTCAGTGAGTGGTTTGCCAGGCGTCTGTCACAAGCTCCCATCCTAAAAGAACATTCTGCCTTATGTTAGAGACAGGCCACGCTTCAGTGATCACAGCCAAGTGTGGAAGGCACTATCTTACATGAGTTAGATGCAGGCTGCCCTTTGGAGCAGATGAGCATGCAGTCCTAATCCTGACATCATTCCTGAATAGCACTTTTTCCCCTTAGTGACCTTAAAGTTTGAATTTATAAAAACTATCAAAAGTAATAAAATGTTAAAATGTGGGCCAGCAAGATGGCCCACAGAGTAAAAGCGCTTGAGGCCATACTTGACTACCTGAGTTGGATCCCTGGGACCAACATGATGAAAGAGAGAGCTGACTCTTGCATGGTGTCCTCTGACCTTCACACATATGCCATTGTGCATGTATTCCCCCCCCCCATTTTAAGTTAGCAAATATTGTAAATGTATCACCTTCTACCTCGTGCTACAAATCAGGCAAGATAGCTAGGTAAGTGGGTATTGGGATATGTCCCTAAAAACTGCAGAACATTTCCTAATAGGAAATTACAAACACAGACAGCTGTAACAGATAGCTTCTGCACTCCCAATTACTAATTCACAGCAGATGTCTGCTCTCACGTACATGTTTCCACACCTACCACCTTCACTGCTCCGTAGGAATCACTGACAGTAGTCTGGAAACCCTGTTCATTTCTAGGTAGCTAGAGCACTTCGTTTCTCAGCAGTTTAAGAAGTGCACTTTTTCCTGCCCACTATAAGAAAAAGAAAGAACTACTTTAGCCTCAACTAACCTTCAGTACGGCCTTGTGCAAAAATGGGAAGTATTTCTCTTACTGAAGAAGCCTAATAAAAGCTTAGAGTAGGGTCTTTAATCCCAGCACTTGGGAAAAAGAGGCAAGTGGGTCTTTGTGAGTTTCAGGTCAGCCTAGTCTATGTAATGAGTTTCAGGCCAGCGAGGGCCACATAGTGAGACTTTATCTCAAGAAAAAACTTTAGAGTAAAGCTCCCCAGTTATGAAACCTGTATACATTCCTCATTACATAGGCCACACCACACATGACAATAAGATCATAATCTTCTTGTAATTTGAATTGATTTTTTTCTTAATTTTTAAGAAGACATGTGAAATGTCCTCTGGGTGTTACATCGTTTCTAACTATTAGCTTAAGTTTCCCTTTTATCTGGCTAATCTCTGAGCTGTTCCTGCTATAAAGGGAAGTAAAGTTGTGTTGAACTCATTAAATTCTTTTATATGACTTTTAGATTCTTTTGTGAGAGCAAATGTTTTTGGAAACTGATATACACAGATGTGTGCTCACTGGGCCATTTATAGACTTGTAAATTAAACTCGGCTTCCTTATCTGTCACTCTGCAAGGTTGAAGGGGATTTTAGAACGCGGGAAAGAAGAGTTGGCTGAAGCAGAGGTTATAAAGGACTCACCTGACTCCCCAGAGCCTCCAAACAAAAAACCCCTTGTTGAAATAGATGAGACGCCGCACATGGAAAAGTCTAAAGGTAAGGACGGCCCTGGGAGCCAGGACAGTTTCCAACAAAGCTCTTGTTTTGTGCAGGATTACATCACGCTGTGTCTGTGAGAAAGAGCTCCTGGTGTCCAGATATCAGACAGGAGATTCTGTTCACAGCCTTGAAACTAAAGACATTTTTCAACATTAAAAAAAGAAGAAGAAAAGAAAGATAGTTGCACTATACTCTGTAATGAACGCTTTGAAAAGAAAAGTGCTTTTTGTAAAGTCTGTACTGAAGAAATTGCAGACTAGAAGCTTACATTTGCTGTGTCCTGGAACTGCCTGGTGCTGCTTACAGAGACAGACTCTCCTCCGTGCCCCTTCCTTGGTACACATCTTCAGTTAATGCACAAAGGCGTTGGTTTTCTTCTGACATCTTCATCACATGCATCGTGGTGTTGCTCACAGTTCCCCTCCACACACAACACTGTCTTGTCCCTGCTCGCTGCTCACAATCCCTCTTCTCCTCAGCCACCCTCTTCCACATATGTACATGTGTACAAACACACAAGTCTAGGTTCTACATGTGAGAAAGGTCTGTGCTGCTCCCCCTCCCAGCCTTGCTGTCCAGGGACACGACACTCATTTAGCAGTAAATTAAGATGTGACCTGACCAAACTTACATGAAGATACTGTTCTAAATCGTATTTTTACCATAAAACCTTTCATCTTATTTATAGGCTGAGAAGCTTATTTTCTTCTTGAAGTAATTCTTGGTCTCAAAGATGGAGCTTGAACTCAAGTTCCTGATGTCAGTCTGGGCCTTAGTGTCCTTGAAGGTCACCTGGGCTCAGTACGTGGGAAATCATCAGACTGTCTGGTGCCTTGTGCCTGTGTGACTCCTGGACAGCAAGAGCAGGGCGGCCTCACTTGCTGCTGGCTGGTCATCCTGGGAGCAGGCAGGAGGGTTTGCACCTTAGCGCTCTGTCAGTAGATAGGGACACGGTGATGCTTCACTTCCCTAATCTCCTTGCAGTTGGGGAATCGGGGGTCACCTTGAGGTGATCTTCTGGTGTCTGCTGTGAGTAATCCTTTCGTACACTGTGAAACTGTGTTGCTCTCATAGGTTTAATAAAGAGCTAACTGGCCAATAGCTAGGCAGGAAGAGCTTAGGTTGGGAGCCGGACTGAGAGTGCACTGGGAAGAGGAAGGGTGGAGTCACCAGTCGGATGGAGAGGAAGCAGAGCATGTAGAGAAGGAAGTCATGAGCATGTGGCAACACGTAAATGAAGAAATATGGATTAAAGTATGAGTTAGCCTGAGCTATTGGCCAAGCATTTATAATTAATAATAAATTTCTGTGTGGTTATTTGAAAACTGAATGATGGGAAAGAAAAGTCCACCTACTTATGGCACGCAACATGGGGTATGTTTCTTGGAGTTTTTTATTAACATATATACTTGATATGTGTTAATATATAGTTTTATATATATTATGTATAACATATTGGGGCTGCTGTTAACACAGTTTAGACTAGAATAAGCTTTGGTATATAAAGAGAAGAAACAAACTGGAAAACAGAAGAGCTGCAGTCTTCTGAACTGTAGACCATCACCGCAGGAACTGCTCCCATTCGATTTAGATTAGTCTCAGAATCGCGAGGAGATGCGGAGAGAAGATGAACTTGGCATACTGAGAAAAGGTACCGAGTCACATGGCAGACAGAGAATGGGTAATAAACATGAGTTAATTTAAAATGTAAAAGTTAGCTAGTAACAAGCCTGAGCTGTTGACCCAGCATTTATAATTAATAAGTTTCTATGTGGTTATTTGGGAACCAGATGGTGGGAAAGAAACCTGCCTACATCTGCTATATCTGCTCCTCAGGCCATTGCCAGAGTTAGAAATGGTGTGATTTAAATCAGTGCCTTCTGGTAATCATACACCTCACATGTCAGCTGCACCACTGTGGATCAGAATGAGAAATGTAGGTAATTCGTACATGTATTAAGTGTATCTGAATCATACTCACCCCCAGTTCCTGCTTCCCTCTCCACCCATATGTCCCCCTCCCACCTTCATGTCTTTCATTCTACCTTACGACCTAAACCATTATGTCTCCTGTGATCAGCAGCCTTCCTTATACCTGTTTGATCTACTCTGAAGAAGACAGTTGTGTGGCTGGTGAGCACACTGCCCTTGCCGCTGGTTCTTCTAAGTGCCCTGTGCATTTCTTGAAGCTCTGTTCAGCTTTCCTGGCCTGGTACAGTGCCTGAGTAGTCTAAAGTGAACAGCGGAAGTGAGGGTTAAGTTTGTTATATTTCCTTTTTTTCTCTTCCTTTTGCTCTAACACCAGGGCCAGTGTCCTTATTATCCTTGTGGAGTAACAGAATCAACACTGCCAATTCCAGAAAGCACCAGGAGTTCGCTGGACGTCTGAACTCTGTCAATAACAGAGCTGAGTTATATCAACACCTTAAGGAGGAAAATGGGTTTGTGTAATTTCCTGTGGAAACTGCTTTGTTGATTGTTAGTCCTGAAATGAAAACTGCTTGCTTGTGGGCAGCAATTTTTTTTTGTTTGTTTTTGTGTGTGTGTGTGTGTTTTTTTAACTGCTTTTAAGAGCCTCTAAGGAGAAAGAGACTAACCTGTTAGACCCTTGATGCTCATAAAAGGCCCAGTTTATTGATTATAATTATAAAACTGTTGTTTATAGCATTATGTTTCAGGAGAGTCACACACTGAATCTATGTAATGCTACAGTGTTAGAGTAGAATAAATATCAGACGTGATTATTTAATCATTTGTTTTAAGAAGAAATCCTCCTACCATTTATTGGTAAAGGAATTTCTTTTATAGAATTCTTTGACTGAATGGAGGAGACCTCCCTTCTCTGTGCTTGGAGAGGGAGGGTGGCGTAGGAGGACCTTAGGGAGGGTGGCATAGGGAGGGCCTTAGGGAGGGTGGCATAGGGAGGGCCTTAGGGAGGGTGGCATAGGGAGGGCCTTAGGGAGGGTGGCATAGGGAGGGTGGCATAGGGAGGGCCTTAGGGGGGCTCCCTGATCTTCACAGGCTCTGCTTTCTCTCATGTGCGCGCGCAGTGAGGAGGCTGGACTGACTGGAGGGACTGGAGGACCCCGAACTTCAATCCCTTTCTTAAAGTGCTCACATTCTCCTGGTGTGAATAGGTTAGACTTTAGTTCCAATGGGCTAAAGTAGGTAAAAGTACAGAATTTTAGTAAATGTTTTAATTTACCATCTCATTTTCCTTTTCTAAACTTTTCAGGATGGAGACAACAGAAAATGGAAAAGCCAGCCGTCAGTGAAGAGTGACTTGAGGAACTAAATTTAGTATATTGCAAAAATATTTTGGGCAGAATTTGATATAAGTACTTTTACAGCAAGATTGTATAGCCATGTTGCCTGGACTGGTTTTTACATTTTTAAAGAATTTCAACAAAATATCTTTTTTGTACTAATTCTATGATTGGCAGAGTCAAAATATATACATTTGAAATTTGTCCTCCCAAATCACAATTTATTTTATGGTAAAAGGTGTTCCCTCTGAAAATGTTTTTTAAAAAACTTCTTAGGCATCTCTTTGCCAAATAAAACTATTAAACTATATGAAATGCAAAGTATTGGACTGTTGCTTTAGAAAAAATATATTACTCTCTCAGTTCTAATAAGAATTTATAAAACTCAGTCAGAATTTAGGTTAGCTTTGTAGTATTTAATATGGGATCTTACCTGTCTGCATGATGTGTAGTGGGTGCTTTTCCAGGACAGACGACTAGCTTGGTTTCATTTGTAACACTTTGCCTTTGTCTGCTGTCCATTTAAGCCAGAATTTTCAAGTACTTTGTGTTACTTTACATTTATCAGTTTGGTATAATGCTACATTTTTTCTAATTTTTTGTTTTGTTTTTCAAGATAAGGTTACCCAGGTATAGTCTAGGTTTCAGCACCATGCAGACACAGTCCAGAATTACTTTTTAGTTAAAACAATTTGTAGGCTGGGCGGTGGTGGTGCATGCCTTTAATCCCAGCACTTGGGAGGCAGAGGCAGGCGGATCTCTGTGAGTTCGAGGCCAGCCTGGTCTACAAGAGCTAGTTCCGGGACAGCACCAAAGCTACAGAGAAACCCTGTCTCGAAAAACCAAAAAAAAAAAAAAAAAAAAAAAAAGATTGTATTTGCTGGGGGGGGGGGGACAACAAAACAAAAACCTGAGCCTTGCCTAAATCATATCTTTGAAGATTCTGTAATGCATCTAGATCTAACACTCAGTTTAGATATGTAGTGATAGGAAGCGGGTTGCGTTCCCGCTGCCCGGCTCCCGGCCAGCTTTTACCCAAAATAATTACATGGAAACTGTATTCATTTAAACACTGCCTGGCCAATGGCTCAAGCAGATTCCTAGCTAGCTCTTGCATCATGAATTAATCTGTGTATCACCATGAGGCTGTGGCTTATGATAAAATTTTGTCAACTTTGTCCTTGGCAGCTACATGATGTCTTCCCAACTCTGCCTACTCTCTTTCTGTATCTGTTTGGACTTCCTGCCTGACTTTACTCTGCTAAGCAATTGACCCAAACAGCTTTATTCATCAACCAGTAAAAGCTGCACGTGTACAGAAGGACCTCCCACACCAGGAGAGTAGTAGAGCTAGACTGTGAGCCCCAAGCTTTCACTATTGATACTGATGTTTTTAAAAGGATTTTAGTGTATATGAGTGTTTACCTCACGTATGTATGCGCACTGTTTGTGTGCTTGGTGCCCATGGAAGAACTGGAATTACAGATGGTTAGGAACTGTTAGGTAGTCAGGAACTAAATCCAGGTCCTCTGCAAGAGCAGCTGGTGCTCTTAACTGCTGAGCTATCTCTCCGGCCCTTTGTTCTATTTTTAAAAGATTTTAAATGTGTTTTCTCTTTGACAGCTTCACACACACACAACACACAATGTCTTTTGATCATATCAGCTTCCTGCCCCCCTTTCTAACTTATAGCCCCCCCACCCCTTTTTCTTATAACCTGCTGAGTCCAGTTAGTGTTCCCTGCAGTACATAGCTGTGTGGCCATCCACATCCACGAGAGCTTGGGCAGAGGTCACAGCTCTGAAGAAAAGTGACTCCTCTCTCCTCCATCAGATACCAAGTGCTGGGAGCTCCTCAGAGAGGAGTGTCACCTCAAGCCCTGCCCTGTTGATGCTGGAATGTTAGCTGACCTGATCTCATGTCTGTCTATCTTTGTGTTTGGAATAGCTACTGGGAGCTCATGAGTGCAGTGACCATAGCAGAAGACCATGTTTCACCAGACCCCTCTACCCTCCTGCTTTATGTCCCCTGAGTATTGGCAGTGGTTGGTACAGTGACCCATGTAGGGCTGAGCACCTGACAGTCACTTACTCCCCGTACGTTGACAGTTATGGGTCTCTGCACTTACTGTGGCCACTGCAAAAAGAAGCTGCTTTGACCAAGAATCGCTCTGCCCTGAGGAAGTAGGGAATATGTGAATACAGCAGTTGTTAATACCATGAGAGGAATGAGCGTAGGCAACAGTCCAGGGCTGCAGGCTGTTCTACAGTGCTGTGCTCTCTAGTAAATCCCTAAGCGGGGTGAGGCGTGACGCTGCATAGCAGATAACGTGGAGTTGATAATAATCCTCTTTTGGCATCTGGCGAGCTGTTAGGGTGAGTGAGGAAAACAGACTTGACTATTTCGTGTGCATTTTGTTTTCTCCGTTGAAGTTACATTAGCCCTTCACTCCTTTGGAGCATCTTTGAGAATTTTGAAGTAGTATCCAGGTAAGATGTGCAGACTTGCTTGCTGCTAGACTTGGAGTAATGCAGAAACAGTATTCTAGAGGCAGTGGATCGTGCAGGGTGACCTAGTGAAACAATACAGGCGTGCCATCTCAGCCAACACTGGGAGTGGGCTCACCCTCACTAAAGGATCCAGGTGGAAGTGGTCTGCCAGCCTTTGTACCAAAGACACTCTGGAACACCAGGAGCTGTGGCAACCGGTCTGAATGGCTTCAGGTATTCTGTGGGCTTTGCCTTTGAACTCTCCAGCCATAACACTGAAGATAAAGACACCAGCACTTGAACACATTGGCACAGGAGACCACTTCCTAAATATAACCCCAACAGCACAGACACTGAGAGAAATTAACAAATGGGACCTCCTGATACTGAAAAGCTTCTCTAAAGCAAAGGACACGGTAAGCAAGACAAAACGACAGCCTACAGAATGGGAAAAGATCTTCACTAACCCCACATCAGGCAGAGGTCTGATCTCCAAAATATACAAAGAATTCAAGAAATTAGTTATCAAAAGAACACATAATCCAATTTAAAAAAATGGAGTACAGACCTAAACAGAGCACTCTCAACAGAGGAATCTAAAATGGCTGAAAGACACTTAAATGCTCAACATCCTTAGTCATCAGAGAAATGCAAATCAAAACAACTCTGAGATTTCATCTTACACCTGTAAGAATGGCCAAGATCAAAACACTGATGAGAACTTATGCTGGAGAGGTTGTGGGGTAAAGGGAACACTTTTGCAAGCTGGTACAGCCTGTTTGGATGTCAGTGTGGCGATTTCTCAGCAAATCAGGAAACAACCTTCCTTAAGACCCAGTAATACCACTTTGGGGTATGTATATATTCAAAGCATGCTCAATCGTTCCACAAGGACATGTGCTCAACTCTGTTCATAGCAGCTCTGTCATAGCCAGAACCTGGAAACAGTCTAAATGCCCCTTGACCAAAGAATGGATAAGGAAAATGTGGTACATTTACACAATGGAATACTACACAGCAGAAAAAAATAATGACAACTTGAATTTTGCAGGCAAATGAATGGAGCTAGAAAACATTTTGAGTAAGGTAACCCAGACCCAGAAGGACAATTATCACATGTACTCACTCATAAGTGGTTTTTAAACATAAAACCTGCCCACAAATCACAATCCCAGAGAACCTAGACAATGAGGACCCTAAGAGACATACATAGATCTAACCTACATGGGAAGTAGAAAAAGACAAGATCTAAGTAAATGGGGAGCATGGGGGCCATGGGAGAGGATTGAAGGGGAGGGGAGAGGCAGGGAGGGGAGCAGAGAAAATGTAGAGATCAATAAAAAAAATTCACACACACACACAAAGCACAACCAGGTGCAGTGGTGCGCACCTTTAATCCCACCCAGCACTCAGAGACAGAGGCAGGTGGGTGTCTGCTGCATGGGCAGTCCTCTATCTGGTCTTGCAGATGATGTGCTGCTGTGTGCCATAGAAGGAGGGGGAACACGAGTGTCTTAGTTTGTAGTGGAAACTGAGGTTCAGACTAGGCTAAAGTGTCCAGAGGCACAAAAGAGGGCTTGATTTAAGTCCAGACATTTGTGACTTCAAACTGAAAGTTGGGACACTATGCTGTGAAAGTGGCAGATTTTGGAGTAGAAGATATAAAATTATCTGCCAGACTGGTTAGATTTTACATTAACTGATGAGAGCTTCAGTTTCTTCAAATAAAAAAAAAAAAAAAGAATGAATTTACCCCATTGCAGTGATGTTTCCAGTATTAGTTGATATGCTTCATGAGTTCCTTGGCAAGAGATCGTCTCTCTTCCCTCTGGACTTCCTTCCCTACTCCTAGTTCCATCCTCTTGTCTTTCCCTTCACCTCCTGGTGCCATTGCCTCTACCCCAGCTTCACATCTTTGTAGATTCTTCCCTTCCTCCAGTGCCTACCCTTGCTTGTCCTTCATTCTACATCTCACACCAGACCAGCAGTGAGTCCACTCTCAGGTGGCCCCAGGTGACTTCCTGCCCGGGTTGGGCTGTGCCTCAGCTGGAGTCACTAAAGAGAAGCAGCTAGAATGCTGGCTCCCACAGATCCTTGGTTACTGTGGAGATGAGCTTTAGTGCCAAGCCCCAAATCACAGGGAAGATAAAAATTACTAGGTTTTCCTAGTAAAGGGAAGTGCTAAAAACAAAAAATACATTCAGTTTTTATGCATACTTCTAGGATTGCTGTTCCTTTTTTTTTTCTTTCTTTCTAGACAGGATCTCACTTTCCTGTGTAGACCTCAAATTCATGGCAGTCCTTCCTCAGCCTTTTGAGTGCAGGGTATTTTCACTTGCAAGATTTTCAAATATAGTCAGTTGAGAAGTGCTATGAGGACTTTTAAAATCCCGAATCTGCTTACCTCTTTAGCTGAGGCACAGGGACTCCTTAATTGTCCCTGTGGATCAGCAGTAGGCGGCTGCAGGGCCTCCCCAACACACCCTTGTAAAATGAGCGGTGGTGCTGCGTCATCCCCAGCACCCTGGCTGCCTGCTAGCTTATGCCCCGAAATAACAACACACAAATTGTATTCTTTTAAACACTGCCTGGCCCATTAGTTTCAACCTCTTAACCCATTTCTAATAATCTATGTAGCACCACGAGGTGCGCTTACCAGGAAGATTCTAGCCTAAGTCCATCCTGGGTCGGAGTTCATTGCGTCTGCCTCAGAGAGCAGAGCTATCACGTCTGCCAGGGAGAGGGGAGCATGGTGTCTCTGAGCTCACTTCCTCTTCCTCCCATCATTCTGTTCTGTTTACTCCTCCCACCTATGTTTTAACCTATCAGGGC